TATAAGTTAGATCTTCTAGCGAAATACGATAAACTATACTATATCTTCTATATATCTCTCTTATAAGTATATTATAAGCGACCTAGAGACGAAACTCCGGAACTAATTAACGTCGAGAGAGAGGAAGAATAGAAAGTTAAGAGAATTCTTAATAAGCGCTAAAGACGCGAGCGAACTAAGTTCTACGTTCGATAGAAAGAATTTAGCGAAGTATATAATAGCTAGGAATCCGAAGATTATCTATAATACGTAAAAGAAGCGATTATAGAATTTAGAAATAGAGAAAATAATTAATTATTATAATAGCGGTAAAGTCGTACTCGAGATAGAAATATTAAGAACTAATCTTACTTCTTCTTAATCGAAGAGCTAATATAATTATTAAACCTCTTAAAAATATTATTCGCCTTATTAATATTAGTCTTCTTATTAGAAGAGATAATAATAAAGTTCTTAGCGGTCGAACGTTATAAAGCTTATTAGTATATCGTATATAAGTCTCTTAGAAGTTAATATATAGAAGAGACTACTTAATCTAGAGTTAGAGTAATAGAAAACGAAAAGAGACGACGGCGAGTTATAAGCGAGCTTAAGAAAGTAGATATAACTACCTCGGCTATTAATTACTAAATTATTAATATATTTAGAGTTAATACTAAATAAGACGTAGTAGGAGAACGTATAGAAGTTAGGGATGAGGCCGATAGAGAGTTCTTATTAGCCCTTATATATACTTAGCCTACTATATATATCTCGAGATAAAGAGCGTATATAGTAGTACGAACTTCTACATAGCTATTACTAGTTCGTAGGACCTACTTATTTATAATAAGTAGAGCTCTAGCCTAGCTTAGAAGAGTAATAGAGATCTATATAGTTAGTATATAAGTCGTATACGATATAGTATAGATATACCGAATAATACTACGCGATAGTCCGCCGCTTACGTATATACTCTATATAGCGTATCGTTCTAGGCTTATACTCGTAGATAACCTTTCGGATATCGTCCCTAAGGGACCGGATATATTATTAGTAGAGTATCTCGTTATTAGAAATATTAAAGATATCGTTAGATAGAGCTATAAGCGTTAGCGTAAGGTCGTATATAAGATAGACCCTACTTACTCTTATTAGGCGAACTAGAAGATTTACTAGGTAGCTTCCTACTAGGGGATATTATAGTAGAAGAGTTCGCTAAACCTAAAATTAATACTATTCCTATTAGTATACTACTTGTATATAATCGAGAGTATACGAACTATTATTATAATTATTAATTAAAGATATAGACTTATATAAAAAGACGAATTTATAATAGAAGAGTTCGCTAAATCTAAAATTAATACTATTTCTATTAGTATACTACTTATATATAATTAAGAGTATACGAACTATTATTATAAT